TATTCTGGCCAAAACCTAACAAATTTCCTTGACGATCCATTGATTCAAATGGAAGTACATGACATGTTAGTGCAGTTATAGGCTTCCCACGAGAATATTTTAGCTGAAACTCCATGCCATCCCGCCATACAGTAATTTCCAGTGCTTACAAAGCAACACATAACCAAGTTATTAAATATGCACTCGATACAGTGGTTACATCCGTCAAACCCAGAGTAGAGATAAAGAGATGTATAATGAGAAATTTCCTGAACTGAAGCTATAAACTTCTGCAATATTTAAACATCGTTAAGATGGAAAACATCAATTCGCAATAATGTGACACGCCCTATGTTTTAGAAAATTCTCTGACTGCAGATTAGCAGAGGAATAATCATAGAGAGAAGATTTGTGCAGATTTAAATAGAAAGATTCACAGAGAGAAGATTCACTCAGGTCAAATAGAAAGATTTCTAGAGAGTAATTAATTTGGTTTTCAAGATCAATAATTAATCTTCCTCCATCTCTTAGGACGATCATCCCTTGCTCTTTTTCACCCCAAACGAGTATCCTCTCCAGCTTTTGGTCACCTTATTACGTGAAAAAGAAATATTTTAAAACCAGAAAATTTTTATTTTTCTACTTTGGATTCAGTTTAAATCCAAGTTCGACCTAGCTCAGACCCAATAGCACTATAATTGGTTGAAATGTAAAATTCAACTTGATTCATGTATTTTGCAACAGATCCATGCGATTATCATTCTTGTCAATACACAGGTATTTCAAATGACCAACAAAATCTGAATTGTTTATGTTTACTAGTCAAAATTTACAATTCCAATAACAGTTATAATAACTGATATTAACCGGAAAAACAAGAAGAATAGAAATATATTAAGAAATTAATATGACCCACAGCCTAGAGGAACTCAAAGGACCACAAACACTGAAACAATGAAAGAAGTACAAAGAAATTTCAAGATTATGACAGAAGAATATATTCACACCTCAGACAAAGCATTAACAACTGACAAACCCACACCATGCAATCCACCAGAGACACTGTAACCACTGTTAGAACCACCAAATTTTCCACCTGCATGTAGGACCTGCACGATTGGCACTTTAATGAATTGATCAGTCTCTTTAAAACATAATAGAGCTTGAAATCTATTCTATAACATCATATCAATGAAATTCCATCAAGATCATATTATTGCAGCTGGTTCCAGCTGAAATTTTAAATGAAATTAACTTCCAGTCACTTGAAAATCCTCCATCATGAACCTTAAGTTTTCACAATTTTATAAGTGAAGATAGCATCCAGTGGCATTAGTCACTCAATCCTTTAAACATTTCCATATTTGTGCAGAACTTTTGCATAAGTTAACAGGTAAAAATTTGCTCTGTCACATTCAAAGGAAAGCCATTAAATCACCCAGGTCATAAAAGAGGCCAAGGGCTACATGTTCGACAAGAATGCCCCAGCATTATTTAAGAAATAGGTACAGAAAAAGAATACAAAAATGCTCATACTTTCACATGAAAAGTAGAAAGCTGAACCAGACTAGAGTTACATGTAATGCGAGGCGAACTGACTTCTTAGGTGGATTCAATTTGCAAATTCACATAGGTAATGATTGAGGATACAAAAATATGATGAAGAACAAAGAATGGAGCATTGTATGATTAGAAACAAAGACATGGATCTCCAGTAGTATACCAATTATCCCAAAAAGCTGAAGCTTGAAAGAAAAAGGCCTACTTATTCTGTTTTAATTCAAAACGGACAAGTGATTAAAAATCATAAGACATTTATATAATATCAATTTTTGACGATACACTCAATACTGCATTTATAGTATATAACGTTGACTATGGAAGATACAGCAAGGACACGGACAATTAAACAAGAACTCGTAGTAAATTGCTCAACGTGAAGTAGATTCCAATTCTACTGCCAATAAAGTAAATTGTAAAAGGATCAAATGCAATGGTACCGTCAACACTGTCTCCAAGGCAGATTTCTTTGTCACGGGATGCAAGTCAGTAGGAATCTGCAACGTGCAAGTGAGACATGTGAATAAAGATTGTAGCAAAAGTACACTACATGTTATTGTACCGGTGATGAGTAAAAGGAACGATAAGATTGTACGCATATCAGAAGTAGTCATGTTCTACCATTTTGTAACAAATAAGGAGATCAAATATCGTTTTGTTGGAATCATATGAGATAAACAAGGCACATACCCCACGTCCATTGTCAGTAATGCTCACAGAATCATCGGAAAGTAAGACAACATCTATTTTTGTAGCATATCCAGCTTGAGCCTCATCCACTGCATTATCCAGTATTTCGTAAACCTACGAGGAATAAGGACAACTTTAGATCCTTTCTACGATATAGCTGGGATGAACTCAGCTATTACTAGATGGAAAGAGAAAAGCACAAGAATTTACCAAATGATGCAAACCACGAGGTCCAGTGCTTCCAATATACATTCCAGGCCTTTTCCTAACAGGATCTAGGCCTTCCAATACCTAATCATAATAGACCCACTAATGGTCAGCATGAGAACTTAAGGTTGTTTCTTCTTTTGTCAGGAAACAACCAAAAGAATTCTTTTTTTCTCTTCATATAAATATTGCTTTGGGATTAAAAAACAAAAATTACCTACATAAAAGTCATCAATATAGATTGTCAAGGAGCAATGATTTTCAGAAAGAAAGCTAAAAACTGCAACTATGCATACAAAGCAAACTTCCAATATTACTTAACTAAGTGAATCCAGCTCCAACAAATATAACTTACTGTCATTTCCATATTCTTCTTCTAAAGGGAAAACTAAGGGGTTGGGGTAACATACATGGCATACTAAAACATGGAAACAATAAGGGCTTGTAGTTTGGTTATTTTTTATAACATAGGTGAATAGAAGGAGCATGTTGATGATTACTTGAATTTGATCAGGGCCATAAGCCTTGGAGGTAGTGCTCCCTTGAAAGGCTTCGGTAGCAACATTTGAGAACATGAACGCCCTCAGTGGAATCCAGTTTTCTTTAAAACGCGGTGCAGGAAGGGTTATCCTGAAACCAACAACAAACAGAAATGTTTCAGAACTTCAGTCAGCATTTCATACTCGTAGTTTTCCAGTTCACATTTCACTATTTGTAACCAAAGAAGTAAGAAATAATGGAAACGAACTTTAAAAAAACGAACAAAGAGTCATTCCATTTCAAACATTTCAAAACTTTAGTAAACGTTCACTTATTTTGAAGTTCTCTAGGCACCAAAAATGAGCGTAAACTTGTTTCCAAGGAAACCACTTTACTCCATTTTCTTGGAAGCCAAACAGGAAATAAACCAAGAAAATGGAAAAGAGAAGCAAGCAAAAGAGCGAAGAAAGAGGATAAACCTTGTCTTGCTAAAGAGGAGAGAGGGGCGAGAGAGAGAATAGAGAGAGGAGGAAGGAGGAGAGCGAGATAGAAATCGAGAACGAGAGGCCATGAAGCGTATTTGGAGATGGAGATAAGATGGAGTTCTACGAAGAAGCGCCATTGAGGGAAGAAAAAGAGGGATGCTTGGCTTTGAATTTCTGAGGATGAAGGTCTGCCATCGTTGTTTTCTGGTTAACAAAATTAAACCCTTATTTTTTACCCGGCGAAGTCTAAACCCTTCACAAATAAAGCCTTTTTTAGGTTATGTTTGGATGAAATGATGCTAATTTCTTAAATTTATTTAGAGATTTATATTTATTTTAACAATAAAAATATGATAAATTTTTTAAAAAATTATTTTAAATAAAATTTAGAATAAATAATTAAATCAATAAATTTTAAAATTCACTAGATCTTATATAATATAATTAAATATATATAATATTTAAAATTTTAAGATTATTTATTAAATATAAGTTGAATAAGTTTCTTTAAATCATTTATTATTAACTGACAAAAATGATGGTTTAATCCTCAGTATTATTAGTTTTTGTTCACATTAATCTTAAATTTAATTTTTGACCAAATTAATTCTCATATTTAAAAAAAAAAAAAATTAAATTTTCATTAATTATATATGTGACAAAACAAGGTAAAGCAATAAATCATTAAATTTATACACATTTCGCACCTATTTTAAATTTATAATTTTTTATTTATACTCACTGTATTTCATTAATTATAAATCTTTATTTTTTCTTTCAAAAGTAAATTAAAACAAATTAGCAGATCCCCTAATTTAATGTGCTGTTCTCAAAAGTAGTAGTTCACCAGACAAATAATAATATGATATGACTAGTAATCACTTTCTCCAATCAAATGTTGTTATGGTCAGTAAATTATAATTTCATCTTTTACAGTAAGAAAAAGAAAAAGACCAATTGCAAGTGAAGAAAGCAAATGTGACCAAGCTGTTCTGTTGATTTCTGGTATACAAATCAAAGCCTGTAAACCTATAATATCACATATTTCATTTTCAGATTTGCTTCCTTGAATCTAACAAACATCATACATAACAACCAAGTTATTGGCCACTGCTACCCATTTTACAACATAAATTTTCCTTTATGCTAAACAACATAACAACCACATACATAATACAACACCTAATATTTATCTAGATCCTACAATTGTAGATCACAACCCAAAAACACGGCAAGATGGAACCCGTCGAACCATCATATTCCAACCTCCAAATGGACTTCAACCTTTACAATGAGCTCGTAATCCTACACTTCAATTATTGATCAGCCAGCGAGAACTATAGCTTAACATTGAACTCAGAGAGACAGAGAAAGAGGATGTTTTGCTTTTCACTCCCGCGGTCGAGCAAGCCAGAGAGAGCTGAGAGCTCGAAGCCTGGAGAAATAGTCATTTATGGCGAGAAGGGCTCGAGCAGATTGTCTAGTTGTCAATATGCGATGCATTTGTTGTAGTGTTTGTTGACGCAAATTATCAGCCTAGTAATGGCAGGACAGAAGGAACAAGTAAACAAAAGTTTGACAAAGCCCCTGTATACAGGCTTTTCAAGAGCCAATTACAGGACGTGTGTGTCTATTTGTTTTCCGCGTAATATGCAGTAAAATGTTGTGGATCAGCCATCATCCAGGACATTCTTGTCATCACGCTTGAACCAATTAAGACATACCTAATTTTTTCTTAAAAAATAATATATAATAAAATTACCTGGCGAAGGAACCCCTCCAATGTCCCTAGCTTGCCCATGGCCATGGCCATTTGACCCATATAGTTCGCGACGTTGCCAGATGACCCTGATGGCCCAGGTGAGCCATTAGCTAACGTCTCAGCCAAAGACTGCTGCAATGCCTCCATCCCTTGCGACAGCGCATCTTCAGCCTGCTGAGATGATTGCTGCAAGTTGTAGATGCTCACTAATTGCTGCTCTGTCAGGGGCTCCAATTGATTTAGAAGAAGCTGAATTGACATCAAAAATCGACTCAAATTAGAAAACACTAACGAAATGGCAAGTAACTATCCATGGAACTTTATAAACTCTTTAGCTGTCACAAATTTCTCCTTTGTATTACCGGCTTCAACAAATACTGGCAAGTCACACCAACAGAACCATGAAGAGAAAACTGGGCTTACCTTAAGTAGCTCAGATGATCGGAAGCCACCAATCCACATGAAGCAACGCTCAGCTGGTGTCTTCCACATTCCTGACAAGATGTGGAAAACATCAGCTTTTGCTGCAATGCCTTTCAATCTAAAAATGTCATCAAACTGTGCTGTAACATTGTCAACGATAGTGCGAAGCTCTGTGTCTCCAGCATGTGAATTAACTGCAGCTCTCAGCTCGTTGATCAGCCTGTTATGCTCTTCCAGCCACCGTGCATATTCCACGTCAAATGCCAAGGCACCTTTTGAACAATTCAGACAAGCACATCAAAATCAATCTCATCAAACAATCAAGAAAATGAAATAAGAAAGCACATGCTACTAAATAAAATGCTATCTCATTAAAGAAGCTCCAAATATCCAAAGAATAAAGACAATCAGAAGTAATATAAAATTATAATATAAGCATAACATCTATGAAACTGGGAACAAATAAGACTTTCAGATCCCAACCCAAGCTGGTCATTTTTAATGCTAACTGTCATTTCTAAGGAATTACTAGTGCTGGACCAGGTTCTATATCCTATATCCGATACAGAGCATGAAGATCAGGATATAGAAGAAAAAAAGTCCTTTAAGCTGTTCCTTTTTCACCCAAAACAAAAAAAAAAAGAATCAAAGTAGGGATGTAAAAACTGCTTGCAATAACTGTTCAAAATGTACGTTAATATCAGCACGGGATGGTTGAAGCTCCAACCAAGGGATTTACATTGGAAGAAATACAAATAGGCGAGGAGATTTTCTGATTATCAAAGATAAGCAATCGGGTTCTTGGCATAGCATGTAGAAAATTTACAAACCACTTAAGGAAAGAAAAAAGTCTATAAGATCAATAAAATCAATCCCTTCACTAAGATGTTCACCCTTAAATAAAATACTAAGGCTTATATGCATAGCATCTTAGCAAAGCATACTTCAATTTATTAAAAAAAGATATATATATATATATATATATATATCCCCTTAAAAGTTCATTATAGATTCTAGTATTCACTTCTACTAGCACTTGAAAAACATTTACTACGACCACCAGGAAAGAGTTTTGATTTTAATCATTATTATCAATAATCTCACACACATTACCACCATAATCAATTTTCTTACAGCCACACAAATTATTGAAAAAAAATAAGTTATAATACCATTGCCACTCATGGAATGGGACTGATCCCCTGAGCTTGAAATGAATATGCCCTGCATTGAAAATTAAGGAACGTAAGGAAAAAAGAAAATCGAAGAGTAATGGAAAAGGATTAAGGAGACAGACATATTAGAGAAGTAAAATAAAAGAAACCTGCTGACGAGCTCGCTGGAGCTCCTGCTCAAGTTGAGTCAACTTCAGCCGGCTACTCTCTAGCTGCTGTACATATGCCTGATGAAAGAAACATGGAGAAACATTAAACTAGAAATGTCTAAAGACATCGTCTATACTAACTTTGACAGAACATAAGCTAAAACAATCCTGTAGTATATGCATTACAGGTTCATAAGAGCATCTGAAGTACCACTTAGAGAAGCTGGAGGGGGAAAGCAAATATCATAGATAATTACCTTTTTCCTTAATCGACTTTTCCTTGCAGCTTCACGATTTTGAGCAAGCCTGCGTAATGTCTGCCAAAATAATCATTGCAACACAATAATTAATATATAATTGATACCATATAGAAATACTGAAATTAATTGGTGTTAAAAAGACAACCTTCTGATCTGCTGTTTTATCTTTTGATCTATCACTGGAATCAGAGGCCATAAGAGCTGCAGGTTGCTCCCTTTCAAGCTGCATGAAGAAACCACCAAGTTAGAATCCAATCTACACTAACCAGGGCTGAAGCTTTCAACAACAATTTGTATATTTTCATATACAAAGAAAAAAAAAACATATTAAATATATATATATATAGAGAGAGAGAGAGAGAGAGAGAGAAAACAAAGATATAAAGAGAATATACATCAGCAAAATACTCCCAAAATGCTGGAAAAAAGAAAAAGCTTAAAGACTAAACTATGAGGCATCACCCTTTGATTCTTATCATCTGTGTCATCTGTTGAAGTATCAGTTCTAGGACTAGCATCCGCCATACTGGTTTCTGCCCAATTCTCCCTGTGACCAACTGATACAGATACCAGATTCGGCTGTGGTTCTTTATGTAATAATGTTTGGGATACCACAATTGCAGCAGGCAAATTTGTCTCAGTGGTTGCAAGTGCCTAAATTCCACACGTACATAGAGTTAAGAGTAATTATTAAAGAATAAAGGATAACTTCAAATATATTAGTACTCTAAGAATAAACTTGGTATGGAAAGGTCAATGTTCACCTTATTTAAGGCATTAAATTGGATATCAGCACCTACTGCCTGACCACTTGGCTTTAGTTGGTTGAAGATAGAATCTAAAAAAATTGTTTAATCTGTCATTAACTGAAAGGAAAACATGCCCCAAAGTAGTATATATACGAGCATCTTGCTCCCAAATCAACTTTTACTTCTCGAGAAAATGCAGAAACAAAAAAGATAAGAAAATACGAGTCACATAGCTTTGCCGCTACAAAATCAAACAGACATCATAAGTTGGGTCAACCAACTCTTAAGTGACATTTCTTATGTGAGAGAAGAATTAAGTACATGCTATGGCATCAGAAGAAGTGGCAAAAAAGGTTCTTCCATGTTATTCATCCTAATCCCATGGCATCAAGCAATATGGAAGTAGAAGTTGGGAACAAGGATTTTAGTCGAGAGAAACCAGAAAAAAGCAAATGCGAAACAGAATCTGAATAGATACACCAAATTAACAATCTACTATACTCATAAGTTTCGGTCTTGAAAAAAAAAAAACACTTAATGCACATAATATAACCAGATGAATAATTTCCAAAACCAAAAGAACAAACAAATAAGTGGAATGGGGACAATAGTTGAAAAAACATTAATAGCAAAAGTCACAGACATATGCCTAATCCAGATACTTACTTCTGCTAAGATCAATGGCATCCTCTATTCGATATCCAAGGGACTGCTCAAATGTTCCAAACTCTGTGATTCGTGAAGTATGAATAGTGTTCCCTTCTGAACCACTGAAAGCCAGAAGTCAAATAGAAGCATAAGTACTCAAAAAGCAAATTGAATTCAGAATGCTGAATATAATTTTAATTAATATATCCTAGCAAGGAAGGACAAGCTATATCAATAAACACAAACCATAATAAATTATGTGAAAGTTAGCCATCCGTTTACCAGCCTTCCATATTTATGAAACAATTTGACAAAGTTACTATTCAAAAAGCCAAATGTATGTTCAGTTCATATATCCTAGAAAGGAAGTACAAGATATAGATAAACTCATAAAGTATAACAAATATTATGGAATGGTTAGCCAACCATATTCATGAAACAATTTTATCAAGTTCCTAAACAAATTTAGGAAAAGTATTACCATTTTGGAAATAAATAACATAAAAAGAAAAGAATCAGGATAACAACAACTTAGTAAATTCATATGAAAATGGAAATTGCCAGTAAGTTCCGTCCCTCAAAAGAAAAAAATATAAATATTTCATCTGATTGGAATACTTGCATATGCAAGTTGTAAAGACGATTAAAAAATAGCCAATTATAAACCATCTATATTATTCCCTTTTTTCATCAAATAAAGCATTCACTACCGTGTGAGAGACAGCCTTAGTTTTATCATGATAGCTTCATTAAATCGCATGTCAAATAACAACAAAACAACTAGATTAAAACATCATATCAAAAACAATAAAAACTTCACTAGACCACCGTGGCCCCATCGTTTTTCAAGACACCACCAATCATCAGTTCTTCAACCTTATAAACCATAAACAAAAAGAATATGTTCGTATATTTTATAGAAAACCTCGACATAGATAAACAAATTACAAGCAAAACTAATATACAATCAGTCCTTATCAGTAAGAGCTACATCGGGCATCAGAAAATTAAAGGGAAAAAACATGATCATCAATAGAAACACTAACTACTGAATAAGCAAATTGAATTCCGAAAGCCAAGTAGAAGTTCAATCCAAATATCCTACCAAAGACGGGCAAGTTATATGGGTAAATTCATCAACATAACAAACATGCTAAGTTTGCTGTTCATATCTCGGCCTGCCATATCCGAGAAATATCTTGATAATGCTCCTGTCGAATTTATAGAAAATAACTCTATTTCGGAAATAACCACCATAAAAAGAATAATATCTGGAAATTGACAATCTAGTAAATTAGAACACGAAAACATGGAATTGCTAGCAAGTCCTTTAAAAGAAATAATACCAGATGATTAGTACTTAACTACTTACAGACTTAAGCTAAAAGAAGATTCAAATATAAGCTATTACAAATCAGCTACTATGATTGTAAGGTTTCATTCCCTGATATATCAAAACTGCTTGACTACACCACTATATCAAGAAGTAACAAGCAATTTTGACAGCTTGTGTACAACATCATATTCATATCAAACAGTACAAGCAATTTGTTACACCACCATGTCGCCATTGTTCTTCAAAAGACCACTCACCATGAGTTCTTCAACGCTAAGAGGCACTAACCTCTAAGTAATAAGAAGACCTTCCTATATTGTTGTATAGAAAAACCAAAGCAGAGCAACAAAGCACTTAGAGAAGTAACTACAAGCAAAATGATTATACACCTTAACAAGAGTCAGAACAGGCAACAACAGAGTGAAGGGCTAAATCATGATCATTCAAAACTCTATATTTCTCAAACAGCTCATGATCCGCCAAAAAAGTATTTGATTGTCGACAGCATTGCCAAAATTTTGAAATACTTACTCAACATTTATATCCATAAAATGGAAAGTACTTCATACAATCAAATAGAAAAAGCAATCAACTAAAGCAAGGACTAAAGTCTAAAGAAAAGAAGAGTATCATTACGACCAAAAAAGGATCAACAAGCTGCATAATGAAAACCAAGCTAAGGTAACGCAATCAAGGGCGCTCAGATAGAGAATTTTACATTTGGTTGGACGTGGGCAGTGAAGGAATGTAACTCGGCATCCCGGTCACAGCTTTATCATTTTTTGCACCAATATTCACTGTTCTACTACCCATCAATCACCATCATCACCGCAGCCCAATTTTCACAACCAAATTCCTAAAAGGCCCTTAAACTCTCTTACAAAGCCAAGTAAACCAGAACACCGAGTTCAAAGTTTCCACTTTTATCTCCTCCGCCGAGTTTACAACGAAAATGTTAGAATTCCCAAATCCAAAATCCAAAATCCAAATCCAAACTCAACCCAAGCAACAAAAATACAACTTCCTCAGCCCAGAAAATCACCAAACCATCATAATCTTCCGTATACTCACAATCAGCAAAATTGCTAGACCCTTCAAAACCTCGAGTCTTCGCAGCTTCTAACCCACCTTTTTGTCTGCACCGTACAAAAAAGAGCACTAATTCAGCATAAATACGCGAAAAGGGTTAGAAAACCTGCCCCTTGAGCAATCGATTTCTTCAAAAACAGAGCAACACCCAGGACCTGAAACTAGGGAAAAAGTCTGAGAAAACCCTAACCAGTGAGGTTTCGTTGGAGATAAATACTGAATCTTTTTGACTTTTATCACCCTACTAAATAAAAAAAAGGAGTTGGTGCACATATATATGAAGTTGTAGCGATACTACTTCCAATACTCTTTTTTTAATATCCGATATTGAATGAATTTCTCTCTCCTCTCCACTTCTCCATCTATCTGTATATCAATACAGAAGAGTAGACCATAAGCAAAAGGGAAATTCAACAGAGACCTTGAATTTAGAGCTTTTGAAGTTATTTTGTCTTTCTTTCTGCAAAGGGTAAGAGAGAGAGAGAGAGAGAGAGAGACAAGAGACGTTGAGATCATTCCAATTACCAATTTTATTTTTTATTTTTTAAAATTTCTTTTTTCATTTTTGAAAGCCACCAACTTTCCTTTAAAAAAACACATTTCTTTCTTTCTCTGCCTCCAAGTACATATTTTTCCTTAAATTTATAGAAATTTTTTTATTTTACAAACTAAATTTTGGCAAATTATTTTAGAATATAGAATAAATTTTGATTTTATGTTTATTTTTTTTTTAGTTATAAATAAATTTTTGAACTTTGGGATTGACTTTCTTTTATAAAAAATAATTGAAATATCAACTTAAAATATTAATAAATGAATAGAATAGTTCTTTTGTCTAAAAGCTATAATTGAGGTGATGTTGTTAGAGTCAGTTTTTATAAATATATATATATATACTATTGATACAACTTAAACTATCTCATAAATTGAAAAAAATAAATAAATTTTTAATATATATCACAAATTTTCATGTTAATATTTACCCTAAAATAGATCATCCATTATAATCTTTTGGAAAAAAAAAAAGCAATAATTTTTTCAAACTATTATTCTCAAAATTTTCTTTTCTGAAAAAAAGTTTTATCATGAAAATGTTGAAAGCGTATTTAAAATTTACAAATTTCCTTCTCGTCCTGTTTTTCAAAATGAAAAGTCTTTTGCTTACGAAAATAGTTGTAAATACACACAAACACATATATATATATATAATTTATAGATTCTGATTATTAAAATAAAAAAAAGCCGTCATACGGTGCAATTTATACTACCCTTCCTTTTCAATCTGAATTATGAAAATGTAAGGGTAAAATGGTAATTTGACGTTTCAACTTTAGGAAAGTGGAGTCAACTTCCCAGGGATTCGGTAAGAAGTTAAAAACTTCGAATGAAATGTTATAATTACACATTTCACCCATTAATATGCTTTAATTACATAACAAGTTCATTTCTATTTTCCACACTGAAATAATGAAAGGGTTTCGATATTCTTCTCGATACCCCCTGTTTTGCTTAAATTCATATCATACCCCTCACGAACTATCTATATGATGTCAAATAACTTTTTAATTATATTAAGACTATTGTTAAAATTAATCGTCACTTAAAATATTTATAAATTAAGTTTCAAAAAATCAAGTTGAGAGTTATAAATCCGATAATAAACCTTCAAATTTGATACATTATAGCATATGAAATAGTAGAACCTATGATTCACGAAAATTATTAGTACAATGCTCCAACCAAAGTTGTCTAATCAATTAATAACTAACAATGAAATAAAACTATCTTCTACAACGAAATTTAATATGAAAATATGATTCACTTGTTATAATTTTTTAAATTACACAGAGTAAAAATTAATAGTTCAAAATATAATATAAAATGAGATTGTCATAACTTTCGCACCTAATATAAGTCTTATATTTAACTATTTTATTTTAAATTTCCTCCATCTATTAATAAAATAAAAATATATAAAGATAGTTTTAGAAGTCTGTCGGATAATGGGATATTATTATAATAATAAAGTATTTTACTTATATTTAAAAAAATATATATAGTTTGTAGAAGATACAATTTTAGACAATATATTCAAATCCTCTAATGTAAATAAATAAACATAAATAAGATATACTTAAAAATCTCTTAATGACTTATTTGTTTATTAAAAGTCTAATAGATTTATACATGTTTATAAACAAAACTTAAATTATATTTGATATAAACTAATTTCATATAAGTACGAAATTTAAATGCAACTATAAATCAATAAAATCTTCAAGTTCTATATAAATTCAGTATGTCAAATATAATTTCACTATATATATTGACATGTCTTTAAATGTGTTTCATTTAACTTTTGATTGCTATAGTGAAATTTTCATACTCATCTCGAGGAAGCAAGATCATTATTTTTGGTATGAAGTTTATTGATGTAATAATTGAAACTGATGTTTTAAATCTATAATATAAATAATAAATCATAAATAGATATAATCATTTGAAATTATAAGTTATTTTTTAAAGACATAAAAGGTACGTGAATCATTTTTCACTTATTGTAGTTCAATTTCATGTATTGAAATCATAACTCCGTTGCACATAGCATTATAAACAACAATTTATATTAACAGTATTATATATTGAATAAGTGAAATTCTTAATGATGTAACCTTGCCATTATTGGCTAAATTGTTTTTAACTTTTTGAAAAATGAAATTCTAGAATATTATGCTAAATTTAAAATGTAACATCCTGAGCCTAGAATTTAAGCTTGGGATGACATAAATTAATTTTAAAAATAGTAGTAATAATATTTAATTTTAATTTTTTTAAATTTTTCTGTAGATATATGCATTTTGGATGTATTTGAAAATAATTTTAAAGGAATGGGTTAAACTAGAAATAAGGGAGGACCCATTTGAAAAGTATAATTGAAAGCAGGGGCCAAATTGCAAAAAAGGATAAAAATGGCCATGTAGGACAGACATGTCAGCAGCATGGCCAATCATCGTGCGTCGCGTGGCGCAAAAACCAGTACGCATTCCACGCAGGAAGCCATGCAGGTAATCCGCATGCCGAGCGATCCAACGACCCGTGTTCACTCTTGCACATATGAATGACCTAGATCTATTCCCTCATTAAGTGTGATCGGACGGCTGAGAAGACACCACGTGAACCCGAATGGACAGCCCAGATCGAGAGAAGGTGAGTATTTAAACTCCTATTCCATCGAAACCCTAATCTTAGCCACATACATGTTTATCGGAGAAGAAGAAGAAGGGCAGCTGGAGGAGAAGTTTGCCACCGTCGCCATCGCATTAGAGACCCAAATCAATACGATAAGTGCGATTTTCTCTTGTTCATCCCATTTTTCCAATCTAAGCCACCCAAAATACTTCTTGATGTAGGAAAAATCGGGGAAAAGCTGTAAACGGAGGACAGAACTCGGCTGAGCCGCTGCCCCAGAAACCAGAAAAGACTCCGATGAACCCAAAGTTCTTTCCTGTTTTAATATTCGGGACCAAAACTTGGCATGAGATTAATTTTTACATTCAAAAATGTATAAAAATCTATTTTTTAAAAATTAATAAATTTTAATTTAATGTAAAATTACGAAAAAAATAGGTTATTGATGAAATTTAAAATAATTTTGGAAAAAAAAGGTGAAAATTTGGGTTTAGATTGTGTTTTTGAAAGAAAAATTAGAAATTAGGGGGTTAGAACGGACTTTTAGAAAATTGTGTTGCGTAGGAAATTTGGGTGTCAGCAGCCTCAACTAACTGGAGCGTGCTGCGTGGCAAGGCACGCTGACTTAGTGCCATGCGGGAGGCCATGCTGATTATTCGCGTGCTCCGATCGGACAGCCCAGATGTCTTTCTGCCAGCATAGACGGTCCGAATATGTTCCCTCCTCAGGCGTGATCGGATGGTCGCGATCAAATGCGATGAACGGTTTAGATTTATTTCATCTTTAGACGTAATCGGATGGTCTAGATCAAACGCGATGAATGACCCAGATTCGTTTTCTCCTTAGTTGCGATCAAACAGTCGAGATTAAACGCGATGAACAGTCTAAATTAATACAGGATGAGTATAAATAATTCGCTTCACACAGAATCCAAACCCTAGCCGCCAGCCCCCTCTTGGATAAGAAGAACCAGCTGCTGGAGAAGGGAGCCAACCGATGCCTGCCACTGCACCAAAGCCACCTCCAACTGCCAAAAAAGGTAAAAACTCTCTCACCCGCTCAAAATTTGATTATGAGCACCTTTGTTGCCATATTGGAGCAAAACAAACGGTAGATGAGCCAAAAACCGTGGGCAAAACTCGATGGCGCTGTCGCAAGTAAAACTCGCAATCACCTCTGATAAGCCCCATACCGATTCCCATTTTGTGTGATTTTTTCACCGCTCTATTTTCTACAGGTTGACCGAAGAAAAACGCCCAGCTGTGAAGGTGAGCCGACGGAGCCGCCGCAACAGAAAATCCCACTGCTAGTAGATTTTTATTTTTTTATTTTTTTGGGCCAACCAAGTCTCACTAACGTGTTGTCTCGCAAGGATGGGTATAAAACTGGCCAAAACCAGCTGAAAACAGCCAGACTGAGGCAAACTGCCGCTGCGGGTGGCGAGACTGTGGCCAAAGCACGGCGGTGCCGCCATGTCGGAACTCCAAAATTGGTCGAAAAAGGATTTTTAACGCCAATTTTGGGTTTTTGGGTATTTTTAGGTACATAAAATGTGTTTTAGTCTCTATGAAAAAATTTAGCAAACTTGAGGATCGCCAATAAGCGCAGTAGAAGTTTTGTATTTCGGACACCGATTCAGATAAGAATCTCTCACCTTATTCCTTATTATGGAATTGAAGTTTAATTATTAATAATACAGTATTTTGCGTAATTTAGAAAACTTCAAGAATTAATTACAAGTTACTAATAGAGTCGGAACCGATTATTTATTACTGTTTGTCCTGCTTTAACTGATTGGTTGATTTTACAGTTTTAAATACATGATAGTACGTTGAAATTGGTAAGATGATTCAGTTTTGTTTCTTTGATGCATGTATTACTTGTTTTGCGAGATTCACGGTTAAATTGTGAAATTAAAAATTAAAATATAAACAGAAAATTTATTGGTTAAGTGAATGAGTGAATTGTTGTCTTACTAGATATCCTGAGAGATGGTGAACGGACCGGGTACATAGAGAACCTTACCGTGAACGTTGCTTCATACAGGATGGGGTATCAATGAATGGTATTTTTTGCGCTCATATCGGACGGGGTATGGGGACAGATCGATTCACCCTCATACCGGACGGGGTATTGAGAGATTGTACTTTTAGTGTTCATACTAGACGGAGTATGAGGACGGCCCGATTCACCCTCATACCGGACGGGGTATTGAGAAATTATACTTTTGACGCTCATACCAGACGGGGTATGGGGACGACCAGTTAGTTGACAAGGTTTGATATAGGTTCACGC